CATGCTTTTGTACTTTAACTCATGTGCGTATATTTTGTAGCGAGTGTTTTTGTGCACGTTTTTTGATGCGCATTCGTGTCCTCGAACTGTAGCACGTATTTTCATGATCGCTTTTGGAATCCAATTTTGACCATGTTCGAGTCCGAATTTGGAAATTTGATATTAGACAGGAATTGTAGCCAGCTAAAATAGCTTTCTAATGCCGCCGGAACCACTTTATTTGGAGTCCCGATGAGAAAGTTATGCTCGACTTCGTGGACACTACCGAAGATGTTGAGGGATCCTCTCTTCTAATTTGATTTTATTTTCCTAATTGCAACTCTTTTCGTACTCTTTGATCATTTTTGCTTCATGGACACCTAATTATCAATTTGTACCTATTAGATACTAAATCCACCAATTAAAACAGAAATATAAATTAATCCATAAAAAAATCAACGTAGAGGTAAACGTTGAGTGTTATTTCTACACGCCACTGTATCTTTTGTATTTAGTGTTTTTGCTATTGTTTGGTTATGCGTATTAAAGTCCTAGTGTTGTATTTCGTGTTTTTATAAAACGTTGTTGCGAATGCACTTTTGCGCGTATTTTTTTTACATGTACGTTTGTGCATGTCCATTTGAGCGAGTGTGTTTGTGCATGTTTGTTGATTTGTATTAATGTCGTAGGATTGTAGTTTGTGTTTTCATGATCCTTTTTGCGAATGCACTTTTGCGTGAGTACTTTTGTGCATGCTTTTGTACTTTTACTTATGTGCGTATATTTTGTAGCGAGTGTTTTTGTGCACGTTTCTTGATGTGCATTCGTGTCCTCGTACTGTAGCACGTATTTTTAGGATCGCTTTTGGAATCCAATTTTGACCATGTTCGAGTCCGAATTTGGAAATTTGATATTAGACAGGAATTGTAGCCAGCTAAAATAGCTTTCTAATGCCGCCGGAACCACTTTATTTGGAGTCCCGATGAGAAAGTTATGCTCGACTTCGTGGACACTACCGAAGATGTTGAGGGATCCTCTCTTCTAATTTGATTTTATTTTCCTAATTGCAACTCTTTTCGTACTCTTTGATCATTTTTGCTTCATGGACACCTAATTATCAATTTGTACCTATTAGATACTAAATACACCAATTAAAACAGAAATATAAATTAATTCATAAAAAAATCAAAGTAAATGTAAACGTTAAGTGTTATTTCTACATGCCACTGTATCTTTTGTATTTAGTGTTTTTGCTATTGTTTGGTTATGCGTATTAAAGTCCTAGTGTTGTATTACGTGTTTTTAAGAACATTGTTGCGAATGACTTTGGCGCATATTTTTTTACATGTACGTTTGTGCATGTTCATTTGAGCGAGTGTGTTTGTGCATGTTTGTT